ACTATACCCTTTCAACGTATATGCAATATGTAATTTATTCCTACTTTCACAACGAACTTAAATACTCAAATAAGAGAAAAACTGAAACAAACATTCCATATGTTCTCATGACAAATTTTCTGGAAATCTACATAAGGTTGTCACGACACATTCCTTATTGCCCTAAACTCTTAATTGACTGCTCATACATGACAATCGAATAAGAAAGTATAACATACATATTGATTGCATACATGATCAAGAAAATAATAATAACAATAAAAATAAGAATCTGAATTAAAGCAATAAAAACTTGAATTAAGATAGCTCCAATGGAGTCTTGAGTTCAAAACTTGGTAGAAAAATAAAGTTGTAAGGTAAATTTGGTAAACTAAAGTTAGGGAAAGATGGATCTCTTTTGTCCTCCCTATTTTCAATGTGTATATAAGGTGCATGTTACTAAAACACACATTCATAAAAATAAGTGGGTATATCCTAATAACACACGCGCGCGCACACTCACACACACACACACAGAAAATAAGTGGGTATATCCTGTGATCTGGCTACCCGTAGTAGGCCTCTGAGTTTTGTATGGAAAAATTCATTTGTTCGGAATTTTTTGCTTTTTGCTCCTCTCATTTTTTGTTCGAGACTCTTCTGAGCCTGAAAACAGAGAAAACATGCAACCATGCATAACACGAGATAAAAACAAAGATTTAAACGAATAAAAGCGAATGAAAAACAATTAACAAACCGATGCAAAAATCACTTATCAACCACGTGACAGTCACTAATTATTTTATTACCTTTACTCGTGTCATTTTATAATATCTTGTATGTGAATCATTAAAGTAAATACATTTCTAGTGGGATCAATGTCTTTACAAATACTTGTCATTAGTTTGATTGTGTATACTTGCACATACAAAATAACCATCAAGTCAAGGTTTTTGACGTTGTTGTCCGAAATTATGTCATTAAAATTTTGATTTTTCATTGAAATTGTAAACTTTACCGTTTGAGCTTTTGATATTCTTTGTCTGCTGGTGATACAACAAGTGCAAGAGTTTATTGCATGCGCAGGTTGATATCTCTAGTATACATAGTATACAGAGGAGACCCTAAGTTAGAAATAACTTTCAGACTATTAAGAATATTTCAAGTGGCTTCTAAAATATTATGAACCCCTATTTGTTTATGTAACTATAATTGATTAACTTGAGGAAGATCTTAAGTCTAATTTTATTGTACCTATATTTGATTAATTTGAGGAAAAACTTAAGTCTAATTTTAGTGAAACTCTCAAGAGAAAATTTTAGGAGAAAAGATTATACTAAGTGATTATGTTGAATATATATAAATCTATGGTACACTCTCTCCAAACTCTTCTCTTTTTAATTTTTGTTTATTTTATTTTCGTTGCATATCTCTTTCCATCTCCATCTTTCTTCTATTTAATACATATCCTCTAACATAAACGATAATAAAAGTAAGAGTTTGTTTTCATTAATCACAAATTTCGTATCTCACAATTCATTCTCATGTTTTAAACTTTTATAAGGATTTGGAAGAAGAAATAAGGGAACATGAAAAGAGATATTCTTTCATTTAATTCCAAAATACAAATAATAAAGTGAGATCTTCACTTTAGTACTCTAGTGAAAGAAGTTTCCTAAATAAGCTAACTTCAAATCGAGCTCAAGTAAACCATTAGCAATGTCACTGACCTGCAAATAAGGTAAATTCCAACAGCCCCTAAAGTTGCAAACCCAATCAGTGGCAGCTCGAATGAGCCGCCGCAAACCACACTAACCCCTGAAACCTTGTGTACCAACTCAGGAAAATGAAAGAGCAGAAGAAAAGCCAATAGTAGTACAAAAAATATATGCACTCCAAAGTGTAGTGGCAAAACCAGCATCCAAGTAAAGAAAATAGAATATCATGAACATTGCAAAAACAGCTTCCAAGTCATAGTATAGCATAAGGATGCGGCGCAGAAATGGGATTGGCATTGGGAGTGCAGCGCCCAGGACCAGCACCTGCGGCGCAAATGTAGCACTTTGTATGCTGTTAAATTCATGAGATTAGCGTTCGGACTCTCATGTCCATCGCCCAAGTCCAGCACCTGCGACGCAGATGTAGCACGCTGTCTGCTGTCAAAAATCATGTAATAACCACACGGGCTCTCAGGTTCACCGCCTGACATTTGCAGAATTATGCCTGACTTCGACTTTTCATGTTCCAAAGAGAATGCTTCTTTGTAGCGTCACGATCTCGTAGTGTCTCCACTCACTTCACGTGAATGGCTTTCTTGCAATGCATCAAGGCCAGCCCGTGACTACTACTCAGTTAATGAAAATATTAGTGATAGGATTTTAACTTGTCGCGATCATTACTTATCATGGAGAAAGTGATATTTAAAGATGAGATAAGACGACACTTTTACTTGTTTAAGAAGTACTGTCTACGCTTACAACATCAAAATCGATAGCACTTAAAAACTGTAAAACAAAACCAAAAAAACGTTGTGTAATAGCAACTCTTGCCTTAGAATATGATGCATAGGTACAGGTACAGTACATACCGGTACTGGTACAGGATACATAATTTTTTAAAAAATCAAGGTGTGGGTACGTTAATAAAAAATAATAGTTTTTTATAAAATATATGAGCAGAGAACTAAATTGTTAGGTTCACAACAAAATGTCACTATAAAAATTAAAATACATAAATATACTATATTGATATTTGAGAAAACCACAAATTTCATTCGAAATCGAATAATGAAGAAGAAAAAAAAAAAGGAAGTACCACGAGTAGGATACGTGTAACCGATACCGGTACTTCACCATTTTAGAAGTACCCATGCTTCAGAGGAGCTACCTCAATGCTAAGAAAATATTGCAATCTTCCTAGATCTTTGACTTGAAAGTGTTGGACTAGGTGTTGTTTAAGTTCCACAATTCCACCATGATCAAATGACTATATCGTCAACATACACAACCATATAAATCCATTTATTAGAGTTGTATTTATCAGCTTCACTTCGAATCATGACATATTGTTGTACCACACTACTAAATCTTCCAAACCATGTTCGAGGAGATTATTTGAGAGCATACAAGACTTTGTGAAGACGGTAGACATACTCACAACACTCCCTGAGCAACAAACCAGGTGGTTGCTCCAGAGAAACTTCTTCCTCCAAATTTCCATGAAAAAATGCATTTTTGATGTGTAACTGATACAAGAGTCAATGGTGCATGGCAGCCATAGAGAGAAAAAGATGAAAAGAGGCCATTTTGGCCACAGGCAAGAAGGTGTCACTATAATCAAGACCAAAAATCTGAGTATAACCTTAGCCACCAAGCAAGCATATTCTTCTGTCTAGACAAACTTGAGAATAAGAAATTAATTGTGAATGACTTAAGAGATTAGCTCTCAGCTTGGTCTTATTATTCTGAGAATAATAGAATGTGAATGCCTTAGATTAAGAGAGATAAATCAATACACAATCAATCCTAATGAATACATATAAATCCTAATAATTATATCTCAACCAAATTATATCATATCTCAATAAAGATATGCAAGAAATTGAAGAAAAAAAATGATAAGTTGGAATTTCTGTCTTAATTGCAATCCGTCCCTAGTCGCCTTAATTGCGGCACTATGGCTTGACTTCATTGCAGCCCCTAACACCTTCATTGTGTTGGATTTGAAGGGATGAATTTATTCTCGCATTGCTTAGAGATATGACATGTGTTGTGTTTATAAGTGGGAGTAATCCTCACCTTACAAGTCGATTTTGTAGGAATGAGTTAGACCCAACTCATACATTCTGAGATGGTACAGTGCCTATCCTAGATCCATTGTTGGGCTTCCTGCATCGTCCACGCTTCGGACTCATTAAGGCCCAAGCGTGAGCGGGGTGTTGGAATTTCCGCCTTAATTGCGGCCCACCTCTTGTCACCTTAATTGCGACATTTGGCTTGTCTTCATTCCAGCCCCCAACACCTTCATTGCGTTGGGTTTTGTTGAGAATATAGCAAGTGTGAGTAGTATAGATAATAGTCTCACATTGGTTGGAAATGGAGACTTGAACATTTATAAATGAGATAACCCACCCACCTATCACCTTAAGATTTTGGGTGAATATGTAGTTTGTCTCTCATAAAAGTGTTGCTCTAAAAAAGAAGTCTCACAATGTTCAATGCTCCCTAGTGAAAAACTCCCCCAACACAAGTTTGAAGGGGTAGATTTAGTCTCACATTGCTCAGAAATATGAATTGTGTTGTGTTTTTAAATGGGGGCAATCCTCATCTTACAAGCCGGTTTTATAGAGATGAGTTAGGTTCAACCTAAACTCTAAGAACTTTCATTTAACTTGAATTCGCATTCGGGATTTCAAATATTAATAGGTCCAAACACAAGACAAAATAAGAAAGAATTCAGAAATAAGGCCTAAATTTAGTACCCAAATTTGGGATTTGTCATTGGACATACAACCCCCAGGTCACACCTAGGCACGCTGGTGTCAAAATTCAGAAAATGAACTGTCAGACTCTCATGCCCAGCACCTGAAGTCTGCAGAATTATGAATAAATACATTATCATTTTCCAAAGGGTGTGCTTCTTTGTGGCATTCATTAATTGATGTATTCTTTCATGAATCTTTGTATATATTCATCCAAAAACATTTGAATGAAAAGGTGCACATGGTTGAGTTGAGACAATACATTACGGATCATGATACCTGTAATGGGTTGTTTCTCTACACGAAAAGGCATGAGATTATTTCAACTTTTCTTTTTTTTAAGTTATTGTGAAGAAATTTAGTGAGTTGTCTTAAGTTTCAAACTTTTATAACAATTTGGAAGAAGAAATAAGGAAATTTGAAAAGAGATATTCTTTCATTCAATTCCAAAATACAAATACATACATGAAAAACAGACTATACTAAAGTGAGATCATCGCTTTGGTAGTCTAATGAAAAGAAGTTTTCTAAATTGTAGTCTTCAGCACACAAAATCATCAAAGCTAACTTCAATATCTTTACCTCTTGTTGGTCTCCTTCCATATACGAACCTCCAAATCAAATAAAACACCAGCAATGCCACTAACCCAAAAATAAGGGTGATGCCAAAAGCTCCTAAAGCAGTAAACCCAATCAGAGACGGCTTGAATGAGCCGCCGCAAGCTACATGAACCCCTGAAGCTGTTGCCTTTCGTATCAGCTCAGGGAAATAAAAGACGGGTGCAGAAATCAAAATTAACACCAAAAATATCTGCACTCCAAAGTGTAGTGGCAAAACCAGCATCCATGTCAGAATGTAGAATATCATGAACATTGCAATATGTGCCATTTCTGGGAAGAAAGCAAAAACTGCATCTTCAAAGCTTAATAGCGACGGTACTGGATTATCTGAGGTTTTTCCAAGCTGGAATTCAAATGGAGTGGTAGAGTTTCTTGCTAGGTAGCTTAGGAGGCCACCACATGACGTTAGTAAAATCCCATGTTGTTGTGGTGAAATATCGAGCACACTCTCAACTGCAAAGAGTAGAAAATGCTTCCGGTTAAAAGCTTTTCCTCTGAGTAGGGTATTTTTCAATTCATTGAGTAGGGTATTTTTCAATTCATTCTGGGATAATGGAAGACTGTTTTCCCTGTTTTCTCTGTCTGCCTGATATAAGTACAATGGAATGCATTTTATCAAAGTTAATTTCATGTTATCTCATCTTATTATTTGAAAAATTCCAATTCCAGTGATATATAGTGTTGAGAATAATAAAAGTAAGTGCGAGTTGGAATCCTATATTAGTTATAAATGTGGATACTTGAGCATTTATAAGATAAGTGGGAGAATCCACACAACTTAAGGTTTTGGGTGGATAAGTGGGAGAATCCACACAACTTAAGGTTTTGGGTGAATATGTGGTGTCTCTCTCACTTGTGTGTTGCTCTTAGCCCAATGTTGATGCTCCTCCTCATGACCTAACAAATGATATCAGAGCCTATCCTAGATCTATTGTTGAGCTTCCCGCATCGTCCACGCTTTGGGCTCATTGAGGCCCAAGCATGAGAGGGTGTGTTGGACTTTCTGCCTTAATTGTGGTCCGTTCCTAGTCGCCTTAATTGCGGCAATTTGGTTTGCCTCATTGCAGCCCCTAACACCTTCATTGTGTTAGCTTTGAAGGGGTGGATTTAGTCCCAGATTGCTTAGAGATATGGTATGCGTTGTGTTTATAAATAGGGACAATCCTCATCTTACAAGCCGGTTTTGTAGGAATGAGTTAGGCCAAACTTTAATTTTATCTTGGTATCAGAGCCTATCGATTCGGATCACCCGTCATTTATATATGCGCATCAATCCCAAAAAATGTTGGGCGCAAGGGGGTGTATTGAAAAAATCAAGTCTTATATATCGATAATTCGGACCACCCACCGTTTATATCCACGTACCAAGCCCAATAGTGTTGGGCGTGAGGAGGTGTATTGGGAAAAACTCAAGTCCCACATTGGTTAAAGGTAGAATCCACAAAGGAGTTATATAGAGTGACACTCCTCACCTTACAAGCCGGTTTTATAGGGTCGAGTTAGACCCAACTACATTTCTTAAGATGGTATCAGAGCCTCGTTTAAGATCCATTGGGCCACCCACCATTTTGTTCTACATAATCCTCACCCTACTAAACAGTTTTGTAGGGTGAATTAGGCCCAACCCAAACATTCTAAAATATAGAATCAAGTAACATAGACGTGCACACAGTTCATATTTCTTAGAATCGATGTTGGGTATGCATAAAACATTTTTCAATTTTATAATTAGAGACTGACAACGCATATTTACCTTATGCTTTCTCCATAAATCTGCCGCAAGTCTTTGAAAAGAACTTTTTGGGTAGATATTCCCTTCATCTTTCTTGTTCCCTCGAGATTCCACAAGCTTGACAGAATCATCATACTTCAACAGTTCCTCCAGACGTGGTAACTCCAATAATTTCTTCCTATATCCACTTTCATCGAAGTGACTGTTCACAAGTGCTAATTGGAGTGCCTTTGCCCATAAAAAACCATATCAAGATTAATATCCAACTTTATAAGGCATGCATATAGGTATAGCAATCAAATTATATATAATCATATCATTAGAAATATTTGAAATATTTAACTTAATCATGATTGTTTCTAAAATGGTAGATATGAACTGTTGTGATTCATATTAGATGAAAACTAATCTCAGATTATTTATAATCATATCATTAGAAATATTTAACTTAATCGTGATTATTTCTAAAATGATAGATATGACCAGTTGTGATTTGTTGATTTTAAATGAAAATTAATCACAAATTATTTACCATTTTAAAAATAATAATATATTTTCCCTTGCGTTAAAATACAAAATCAGAGCCATGAAAATCATGCAGTTATATATGCAGAGAACCATAACTTATTTTTCATTGTCAACCTAAATTTGCATAGAAACATAAAAACTATTGGAAGAAATAGATAAAAGTTATTGTAATTTTATTCCTTTTGGCTGATTTATATATTGAGAATACAATAAAAATACTTAATTCTCTCCTTAATGGAGAATAAAAGAAAATAAATGACAATAAACGTAAACAATTAAATATGGAAATAAAATATTTTCCAACACCCCATCTCTCAAGTTGGTGCATAAATATCTATCATACCCAACTTGTCTATCAAATGCTCAAAGGTAGGTTTTGCCAAACTTTTGGTCAGGATATCAGCAGTTTGCTGACTTGAAGTCACGAAAGGTAGACATATGATTCAACATCTAACTTATCCTTTATGAAGTGTCGATCAATCTCAATATGCTTGGTTCTGTCATGTTGAACTGGATTATGAGCTATGTTAATAGCAGCTTTACTGTCAGAGTATAATTTCAATGGAAGCTCAACTTTCATCTTAAGTTCTTCTAAGACTCTAAGGATTCATAATCCTTCACAAATACCTTGAGACATAGCTCTAAACTCGGCTTCTGCACTACTCCTTGCTACAACGCCTTGCTTCTTGCTCCTCCATGTCACAAGATTACCCCAAACATAGGTACAGTACCCAGAGGTTGATCTTCTATCGGTGACTGAACCTGCCCAATCAGCATCGGTGAAGATAGACACATTCCTTTCACTAGTCTTCTTAAAAAATAATCCTTTACTAGGATTTCTCTTCAGATATCTCAGTATCCTATAGACTTCCTCAAGATGTTCTTCGAAAGGAGAATGCATAAACTGGCTCACTACACTGACTAAGAAAGCAATATCAGGTCGGGTGTGTGACAAATAAATCAATTTCCCAACCAATCTCTGATATCTTCCAGTATCAACAGGAACATTACCTTCTCCCCAAAGTTTAGTATTAGGATCCATAAGGGTATCTGCAAGACGACATCCACTCATTCTTGTTTCTTTCAAAAAATCTAGAATGTATTTCTACTGTGAGACCACAATCCCATTGTTGGAGAATTTTGTGAACAAGGTGTGGTCATCCTGTCCTTGAATGTACCCTTGATTCTTCATGGACTTACTGAATTTTTCAAACCAAGCTCTGGCAGACTGCTTTAATCCATACAAAGACTTATTTAGTTTGCATACATTTGATCCAAATTTGTTTTCAAAACCAGGAGGAATGTCCATATATACTTCTTCTAGATCACCATTAAGAAAGGCATTCTTAACATCTAACTGATGTAGGGGTCAATCCAGGTTAGCAGCAAGAGATAGAATTTTTATAGTGTTCAATTTTGCAACAGGAGCAAATGTCTCTGAGTAGTCTATACCATTGGTCTGAGTGAAACCTTTAGCCACCAGGCGAGTCTTATACCTTTCAATTGACCCATCTGAATTATACTTCACAGTAAACACCCATTTGCGTCCAACTGTCTTCTTGCCATCTGGTAGCGACGTAACACTCCAAGTTTTGTTCTTTTCAAGAGCTTTCATCTCCTCAAGTACAACTTCCCTCCACTTTGGAATTTCTAGAGCAACCTGTACACTTTTTGAAATTTCTACACTAGAAAATTTAGAGGTGAAAGCAGATATAGATGAAGACAAATTTGAATATGAAATAAAATTGGACATGGGGTGTTTAGTGCAAGATCTGACAGGTTTTCTAATGGCAACAGGATCATCTATATCAAGATACAAAATACACTCTCAGAAACAGAGATAGACTTACATTTCCTTGTGTTAGGAGGTTGATCATTCCCAAGTTCAGATTTCTGGCAGTGTTGATGTGGACTCGTCCCTTCGTTTATGGTGTTTTTTTACAAAAATCTTCCCTTTCCAAGTCCTGTTTCCTAATTCGAATCTGTTTTCTTGAAGTGACTCATTATTTTGTGGCATTTTAATTAGATCATCATTATCATCGTTTTCAGGATTCTCATTGTTTTCTACAAGAGAAAATGTAGGCTCGGATTCACAAGGCTCCTTACTCATAACAAGAGTAGGATCAGATACAGAATCATGGCCATTTTCTGTTGGTGCAGATGTAAAAGTCTCAGAATTTTGTGGTGCAGGCAAAGATAAATTTTTCAAAAAACTCATGTCCTCAATTTGAAACGAGTCTTCCTTTATCTTCCCCCTTGAACATGAGTGTCATCAAAGAAAGGTTTTTTTTCAAAAAATATAACATACATAGTGACAAACATTTTCTTATTTTTTGGATCAAAACATTTATATCCTTTTTGGGTTGAGGAGTATCCAACAAAGACACATTTTATAGCACGTGGCTCAAGTTTTCCAACATTTTTATGTTCATGAACAAAAGTTGTGCAACCAAAGATTTTTAAAGTCAAATCAGTTAAAACACAAGTACTAGGAAAACATTCTTTGAAGACATTAATTGGAGTTTGAAAATTGAAAATTTTAGAGGGCATTATGTTAATTAAATACGCAGCTATTAAAACAGCTTCGCCCCACAAATAATTTAGTACTTTATTCGAAAAAAGTAGAGCTCTAGCAACCTCCAATAAATGTCTATTTTTTCCTTTCGGCTGCTCCATTTTGTTGAGGAGTATTAGGACATGGAACTTTGATGTACAGTCCCATTTTAAAAAAAAAAATCATCCAGGATAGTGTTAAAATATTCTTTGTCATTATCACTTCTAAAAACTTGAATATTTGTTTGAAATTGGTTATGCACCATTGAAAAAAAATTCTTTACAGCCTAGCAGACATTTGATTTCCCTTTTAACAAGTACACCAAACATACTCTTGTATGGTCATCTATAAATGTGATAAACCATTTTTTGAGAGAGAGTGTACTAGTACGGTTAGGGCCCCAAACATCACTGTGAATAATAGAAAACAGTTTTGATGGTTTATAAGGTTGTATTGAAAATTGTGAAATAACTTAGGAAACAAGTGTTTTAAATAACGAAAACTAGGATGACCTAATCTTAAATGCCATACCATAATGTTGTCATCTTTATTATTCAAAACAGAAAAAGACTCAAAGCAGGAACTTATTGTTAAAGGTAGTTGTGATGCAGATCCAATGTCAAGGTAGTAGAGTCCTCCACTCTCCTTAGCACTGCCAATCATCTTCCTCGAGTTCAAATCCTGAAAGACATAGTGAGATCGGAAAAAATTAGTTTGACAATTTATATCTTAGGTTAATTTACTGACGAACATTAAATTACACGATAAGTTTGGAACATGAAGGACATTTTTATGAGTTAATATTGGAAACAACACAACTGACCCTTTACCTGCAATGGCTGAAAAATAGTCATCTGCAATTTTTGTTTTTTGATTACCTGCACATGGACTATATGAAGAGAACAAAGTAAATTCACCTGTCATGTGATCAGAGGCACCTGAATCTATTATCCAAGTATGACTGGGACTAACACTAAGAAGTGCAGAATTACCTTTTATTGCTATAGAGCAAGAAGGGGTTGGAGACTCGAGGAGTTTGTACAGTTTGTCTAATTGTTCCATAGTAAATGGAAGTTGGGTTGTAGGGGATTGTTGCCCTTGATCAGAATTACTAGCCTGAAATGCACGACCACCTTTCTTCTTCCGGTTCAGAGGTTTGCCTTTGATCTTCCAACAGGTTTCACGTGTATGCCATTCGCGCTTGCAGTGATCACACCAAGAAACACCAAGAAACTTTATCTGACCTTCTACCCTCGTCAAGGTTCCTAGTAGCCAGAGCTGAACCTTCAGATTCAGAGCTTCGTGGTATCTTGTCCATCATAATTCCTTGTCGTGCCTCCTCCCTTCTTATTTCTGCAAAAGTTTCACGAAGAGTTGGCAATAGTATTTTTTCTAAAACTCTACCTCTTACCTCATCAAGGTCTTTATTGAGTCCAGCGACAAACATAAATAAACGATCATTTTCTTGCCTCTTGAGAAACAAAACACTGTCTTCTGTACACCTCCAATTGTCGTCATAACAAAGATCCAACTCTTGCCACAGTGTCAACAACTCATTGTAATAAACAGTTACACTCCTGTCACCTTGTTTCGCATGCCATAACTTTGATTTTAAACCAAAAATTTGGGAGGAGTTTTGAATATCAGAGTATGTTTCCTTAACAGCTTCCCACACATCCCTTGCGGAAGGCAAAAACATGTAAGACTTACCTATTCCAGTTTTCAGGGAGCTTACCAGCCACGCAATAATCAAAGAGTTTTCAGATTTCCATTGTTTGTAACGAGGATCTCCTAATGTCGATTCTGCTACTGCTCCTGTTAAGAAACCAAGTTTCCCTTTGCTATCCAACACCAACCGAACGGTTTGAGCCCATTCATTATAGTTATTCTCATTCGGTTTAGGGATATTGACCTTGAGGGAGTATGAGGAACCCTCTTGATCATTACCGCCTATGTTGGAATAACTATCACCAAAGACAATGTTCCTGTTTCCATTGTTGTCGTTATTACTGCCAAAAACAATGTTAATGTCTTCATTATTGTCACTGTTTGTGATCACTTACGGTTCCTCTCGTTCACCATCTCCGCGACCACCGCCATTTCTGCGGCCACCGCCGTTGTTATTCTCCATAAGAGATTAAACGTTATGTTAATCGGATCGGGTAAAAAAGCGGGTCGAACAGAAATTTTTTTCGAGACTACGCCCCAAACCCCGCTAGTTGTAGAAAGCTTTACGGTAACCCTAACCCAGAGCTTTCGATACCATATTGGAAGAAATAGATAAAAGCTATTGTAATTTTATTTCTCAGCCAAAGGCTGGTTTATATAATGAAAATACAATAAAAATACTTAATTCTCTCTTTAATGGAGAATAAAAGAAAATAAATGACAATAAACATAAACAATTAAATATAGAAATAAAATATTTTTCAACAAAAACAGTTGCAGTTATCAGTGTTTTGAAAACCGGACCGGGAACCGGGACACTAGCCGGCCTGATTCATTTGACGGATCAGCCTCGCCATTGAACCGGTGTGAACCGGTGCGAACCAGTATAAATCGAAAAAACCGGAAAAACCGGCGGTTTAATTGTTTTTTTTTCTTCACTTTTGTTTTTAAAAAACTTTTTTTTTTAATATACTTTGTAGTGTATTACTTAAATAGCATTCTCACATAAATTTTTTTCGTTAGTGACAAATTACAGACTTTATTGGTTATTTGTTATTTTTACTAATACATTTTCCTAAATAGTTTGTAACTTTGTGGTTAGTAACAAATTAATTACCTTATTATTTTAACTTTTTAGATTGTTATATATTTTATCTTTTTATATTTTATCACCGCTAATAATTTTAATTAATTATAATTTATAATTAATTATATTTAGTGTCAAAATATTAACAATAGAAAAAGGCATGTATTTTGTTAAAAGGGAAATAGCATAAACATATTGAATTTTATTTGGTTTTCCTTTTAAGAGAATCATATTTTACTTACAAATAGTTACCTCTTATTTCATAATAATCAATAAATAATATCATTGATGGGGAAATAGTTACCTCTTATTTCATAATAATCAATAAATAATATCATTGATGGGGAAGTTGTTGCAATTAGACTTTGTTTGCAATTAGATTTTATAATTTTGTATTATTTTGTTATGTGTGATACATTTGTTTAAAATTTGAATTTAAATTATGAATTTGTGAATTTATGATATGATATTTTTAAAAAATTTAAGTACTAGTTATATTTTTTTAGAAACTGAATCATCCGGTTCGACCGGTTTTATATCTATATAATGACAGGTCTATTCAATTGAGTTATCCAGTTTAATCCGGTTTAGTCATGCAGTTCAACCAGTGACCCAGTGGTTCGACCGATAAACCAGTGACCCAATACCCTCACCGGTTCGATGACCGGTCCGGTTTTTAAAACACTGGCAGTTATATATGCTTCAAATGTAATAGATAACTAGCTTAACAAAATATCCAAAGGCATGTAATGCATCTAGATTTATGGGGAAACCTTTTTATCTAGCTTGTTTGGATCTTCTATAGGTTCATTATGATGTTGCAGTTGTAGTCACCATCAGATTAAGAGAAAGAAACAACTATGGAGGTTTCTCTCTAATTTTAATGACTTCTACAACTGCATTACCATATTTTTAGCCCGGTAGAAGATCCAAATATTACTTAACTTACTTCTATGCTTTTGTACTATGTTGTTTGAATTGGACATACAAAAAGAGATTATGGATGAGAGAGATGGATATAAATCTGAAATCTGAGTAAACAGTAAGCAATTAATACCTGCACAATCACAGGAGGCCTTGATAGTTTGTCATCGTGAGAAGAGCTTTCCGTGCTAATAACCTATTAGACAAATTAAATTGATACTGATAAAAATTAGTATATTATCAATCAGAAAGAGCACAAAAATAAACAAGGTGGAGGACTCACCGGAGGTGTCGTTTCAGAAGTAACTTTTTCTATCCCTGCAGAATCTGACAAAACAGACAGTGTTTTTTCTTCCATGATGTTGTTTGTTTCAACAGTTATATCCTGTTTCTGCATCTTGATTTTTTAGAAACTCTTTTCTCTTAACTCTCACAGCAGAACAGAAGTAGATAGAAATCAGTATGAATACAGAGGAAATGTAGCAGAAATTTCTAAAATCACAATTTCCGCGTTACCTGTCACTCTCGCTAGTCTCAGTCTTTCACCTGCTACAGACTACAGCAACATATCCACATTTGTCTTGCACTGAAATTTCCTTCATCGTGTTCACATCAACAACAAAGTATCCACATTTGTCTTACACTGAAATTCCCTTCATCATGTTCACATCAGCAACAAAATATCCACATTTGTCTTACACTGAAATTTCCTTCATCATGTTCACATCCGCAACAAAATATTCACATTCGTCTTACACTGAAATTTCCTTTATCATGTTCACATCAGCAACAAAATATCCACATTTGTCTTACACTGAAATTTCCTTCATCATGTTCACATCAACGCGTCTTTTACTTTGAATTAGTCTTGTTTGTTAACCACTCATTTCTATGCAGTATTCCTGTCATATTAACAAATTTCCTTTGGTTTGAAAATTAAAACCATAACTATTAACTCTGTTGATCCAGCTCAATTTCATCTTTTATTCTCAAGATGGAACTTCAAACTCAACATGACAAAAAGCTTGAAGACGATGACAAACTGAATTGTAGTAGCATCGATTCATCCCTTCACCAAGTGGATCGTCTTCCTCATAACCATTGTTCCTACAATGAAGATTATTCGGTAACTTATCTTATTTACCTCCAATTCTAATTGTTGTCTCAAATATCTTACTTTTATTTGTTTTGTTCTGTTTAATGGTTCTGAAACTGATGCAATTTATCATTCCATTAATAGTTCTATGCTATGTGGACTTTTCAATCTAAAGATGCAAAGTAGCATAATCTGGCTTACAATCTAAGACGCTATATGAATATATTTATGTTGTTTCATGCAATGCAGTTTGATTTCCTGAGTGCTTTAAAAGAGTGCCCACCAATCAGTTTTACAGCATTCTTTGGAAGTAAGATCCTAAGAACTTGCTTGAAAGAAGTAAAGCAAAATAGCATCATTGGAAACAGGTCCTCTCACCTGGATAATAATGAATTGCGTGTTGCTCCTGCTCCTGGCCGTGGTTTGGATTGGCAGCACAAACTGACTTCAGAACTGCATCGGTACAATACATACGTACCAAGAGACACAAAGCTTCAGTATGACTTTACCTACAAATACAATCGGCAGATACGTAAGGAAATCGTGGGATGTATTTCATCGTTTGTAGTCTCAAATACTGTCTTTTTAGGTATTTTCTACAACATATGGAGCATCTTATTAAAAAGTACCAGTGTCCAGCCACTGCAAAAAGAACATGATCACCACCATTCCATCTGGCCGTCCTTGCTCGGGTTGTTCGGTTTTATGGTGCTTGTTTGTGCTGTTGCTGCTATGATTCTTGCTGGTGCGGTATTCACTCGGATGCAGAAAGCTATGCTTATCTTTTGGGTCGTTTTCATGCATCTTCAATCAGCTAACTCAATCATCGAAGTTTTTGTTATACTAATAGGTGGACTTTTCATGGGGTGGTATTCTTTTGGAGAAAAGCAACCACCAAATGAAGTGATATGAATAAAGATGCTAATAAGCTGTCACCTCAAACAATTATATGAATGCGTGTGCACGTGCGCGTGTTTATTTTAATATCAATATTTCTTCTAGAATTTATGTTTGTGATTAGCAGCTGTAAGAAGCACCTTATTCCATCTGATATGCTGTGATATATGTTGTTGAATTTTACTTTCCATGTTATAGTTGTATTGGTTACCAAAGTTTCTATTCTTAACTATTGTAAGTCATATTCATATCATCATCGGGAGTGGTAAATTTGGCATTTTCATGAATCTCCCCGTCCTGGATAAATTTATTATGCTATATGTTACGATAAACTTTTTTCTCTGGAGGAAACTTAGGTCTAATGAAAGTCACTCCAATTGCATGAGCAAGGAGAAGACTGGTGTTGTCTCCTGAGGAGTATCACTGAAACTATCAACATTCCTAACTCCTAATTTAGCCAAGAAATATTTACCAAATCCCCTTCCCTAATAGTATGCCGCAAATCATACTCCGAATCAAGGATCAGGTACTGTTTTATGAAATGTGAGATTAATCACATTCCAGAACAGGTGATGCGGATTATGATCTACTTTGGCAAGCTCAATAGTATGCAACGAATCAAAAACAATTTAGATTTTTGGTCAAAGAACTAACAGAATTTAAATTAAATTAAATGGACAATTGGAAAAAAAAAAAAAAACATAATCAAGGGATAAAGATAGGAGGCTTGACCAATGTCACTAGCTTTAGCTTTTGATCAGTCTAGAACAGTAATTGGAAGTTTCGGAGTCCAACACCTAGGGGTCAAAAGACGAAGAGTGAGAGACAGACTCTAGAATTACCAGTATGAGCAATTGTGGTTGATGACAAAGCCTGTGAAGCCTTAAACTACAAGTATGCCTCATACTCATCATCATCAGATATCACACTTCGGTTAATGCTTCTCAGCTCAAAGTCTTTTCCACTATCATTAAATTGAATTGTGTTGATTGGTTTTTCTAGGAAGCCAATAAGAGAGTAACACTTATCTTCGATGGTGACCAAACCTCTTACCATAAGTACACTGAGGACATCCTCCACTACGACCTCCTCGACCACAACCTTGTCCTCCACAACCTGCAAAATTAGAAGCAAAAGCGGAAGATTCTATACCATTTTGGGGTGCATTCCCTCTTGTTCCTTCTAGACTAGGTAGGCGTATGAGGCGCCTAATCAAATAATTAGCTAATGTTGTCATTCATATTCATATCATCATATGGATTTGTATACTGGCCATTTTCATGAATCTCCCCCTCCTACTGGGAGTTGTTTGTTTCTCTTCCTCAGTCAACATTGATTATTTCAACTTTTTTACAAGTTCTTTTGGGTATATATGATTGGATAAAATAAAAAATCTACAAGTGATTAAAATTTTAAAAATAAAACAGAAAAAATGAAAGTAAAGTAAAGCAATAATTAAGTAACTGCAATAACAAGAATTCCAATAATCACCAAGAGATTATTCAATTTATCACAAAAGCCATCGAACAAATATTTGGAAACAAAATAGCAGAGAACTTTGTTCAACTGAGACACCAATTAACCATTTCATTTATTTTTGAAAGTATACAATTCAATATCTAGAATGGCCAAGAAAACCTTGTATCTTTAGGAGCTCTCTATTTCTGTAGGACTGAAGAAGAAATAAACTCTAAAGCTAGCAGTTTTCTGCACCTAAGGATTTAAAACCAGAAAGAAAAGGGTATGTGAAAATATGTTTGGATGATACAAAAATTAAATATTCTCAACATGAAGATTCATCATGAGGCTTAGAAGCAACAGCCCGTGCACGTCTTGCCTTTAAATCGTCGAGATAATTCTGATAGATATATGAAGTAAAACCCCATAAAGCCAAAAGCATGGAAATTATCTTCACCCCGTTCATCTTATCATGAAAAACTATCACAGCAGCAATAGGAGTAATAGCCAAAGAGACAGTACTGATAACATTAGAGTAGAGAGAAGACACTAGGAATATCAAACCAACCACACCAACAGAACAAACCTGCCACGCTATTGCGGTCCAAACCAAAGTCATTACGTAAGCAACTTCTCCTTTCTGAAAACCCTTCATTTCTCCGTGCAAAGTATGCCATTCACCACTTGCAAATAGACCTATTGTGGAAGCACAAGTCGCAACAAGTGAAGTATAGATTTGCATTTCCAAAACAACAGAAAATGTTTCCTTTTTCAGAACCTTCTCAAAGGTCAGTTGCATGAGAGAAAGCAAAAGAGAGTAGAGTGCAGAAGCTCCAAGAGTACAAAGGAAACCGATAACATATTTCCCCTTTGGGATACCAGACGGAGCATCTGCATCTTCATTGACAGCAAGTAGCGAAGAGGATAAAGTGAGTATCACAGTCGAGTTTATGATCAAAACAGTGAACTTTTGAGAGTTGAGAAAATAGGAAAAAACTGCATTGAAAGCTAACTGAGATGCACAAATCAGTGCATATGTAGAAGCAGAGAGGTACAAGAGTCCTTGTGAATACATCATATTATCAGCAGCAATCACAATTCCAAGAACAAAATATATCAAAGCGACAACTTTGACAGAAGGTGGAACCGAAGAAGTTGAAGCTTCCGGGGGAGAAGGAATTGTGAAGAACGGAATTAACAACAAGGGGAAACCAATAGTTTGGACTAAAGTAGCCATCCATGTACTTTTTCCACCTTGGTCGTAATAAAATCTTCCGAGAATAACTGCAACAGATTGTCCCATAATAAGAAAAAATATACTCAGTGCCACGAGAGACCACCACTGCCATCGCTTGTATCTATAAAACGGTAGTTCAGAAATTGTCCCCGCTATGATATTCGGTTCTTCACTATCTATCATCAAAAGCAACATTAAGTTTAGCATCTTGTTTAAAGTAACCACAGGAACATCAAAAGAAAAGTAACTGTAAAAAGGATCATTATGACAGAGCTAGCCCAATCTTTTAAACCCTAGATTTTATCTTACAAGGATCATTATGGCATGAAATTGATTCAGAAAGTTAAACCTAGCTAGCAACAGAATAATAGAATCAAAACTAAGCGAAACAATTGAAATGAAAGAGTAAAGAGAGAGAGGTATACCAGACATGTTGTTGAGAAGTGAGGAATGAATTTTGACGTTGAAAGTGAAGAGAAGAAGTAAAAGGGAGAGAGGTTTTGAAGAGTATTTGGGAAAGGGTTTGGTGATATAAAGGTTTTAATGAATGGAATAATATTCAATTTGAGAATTTTGACGACTTTAGTTGTAATAAGTTGAATGAATCCAAAACGATACTGAGTGTGATGCGACGATGGACTCCCTATATGTTTACGGGCTGAGAATGGTTGCACGTGTGGGTTTAGTTATACAAATACTCTCGAATATACTAGTAATCAAAACTTATTACTAAAAAAGATATAGAAAATTAGTAGTATTATATTAAAGGTTACATATGGTTTCTTTTTTTCGTTTTTAGTTATAAGATTCTTTTCTATTTTTTCTTTGTCCTTTAATATGAATAAACTGCAAATTTATTTATTTATACTAAAATATAATTCTACAAGTTTTCAGTTAAAAACTTTCCAGCCAAAACTATTTTTATTTACTTATTATTTTAATTAATTTAATATTTAACAATTAATAATTAATTTTAAGTAATTTTTATTTCACTAATTCTTTATTTCATTAAATCATAGCACTACACATCACTAATACAATTTTTTTCTTCATAATTCTCAATTAATCAATAATAAATAATGATTAATTAAAAGTTGTTGAAATAAGTACATGTAATTTTTTTTTTAAGCAGAATACTTTATTAACCAAAACTGATAGATAAAACCTGATTCTCAAGAATCCAGCACAAAATAAGCAAAGTCACATTAACTAATCTACTCTAGAGTTACACTACTCGTCTTTACGTGACTCTTTAGGACCCTATGAGAAGAACATCTCATAACAACAATATTAATGATTACATCCTTCAAACTACTACAAGTATCCTTACGTGTAAAGCATTTTCTATTTCTAGCTCTCTACACTTCATAAGTTGTTTTTGCTATGGCGCCCTTGAGCATCTTTCTTTTCCAACCCCTCTTTTTCACTTCATCAATGAGTCAATTCTTTTCACCAGTCCATGTGTTAGCTTTCCTTTTGTAACCTACCCAACTTAAGATTTCCTCCCAAATCTGACCTGTAATGTGGCAGTAAATAAAGAGGCAATTTAAAGTTTCTTGTTGTTCACAAAAGCACAAGTTTCATCTGTTACAATGTCAAACCTGCACACCATGTCTTTTGTGTTTCATCTACCCATTAGAGCCAGCCATAAAATAAATTGTGTCTTTGGTCTAGCATAGTTGGCTACAAGAATATATCTCCAAGGCACACACTCTTTTTCACCCCTCAAGTCCCTATACATCATGGCAGTTTTGTAGTTCTTATCCTGCAACATTGTCATCCAATGTCGCGTGCCTTCCACTTTCTCTCTTGTCTTCAAGATACTTTTCAAAATCCATGAGGATTGGTATGTAACTTAAGTAGTCATTACTTATTGGTTCTTCATATAGTAGATATAGTAGATGTTGATCCACTTTACCCAAAGCTTGTAAGCCTTCCTTTGAATGTTCCATAAAAGCTTCCCCGTAGTTACTTGGTTCCACTCAACCAAGGATGTGATATTTAAACCACCGGTCCTCTTTGGGTTACAAAAAAAGTCCCAAGCTACTAAGGTTTTTAGACTTATTATCTTCCCAGTCCAAAGAAAGTTTCTGCAATCTGATGTAGAACTTTCTTAGGAAGAGGAAACACCTGCAACCAATAATTAACAATAGAGAACATCATACTGCGAATCAAGATTGTCAAACTCGCGAGTGTACTCAGACTCGTAAAGGATCCGTAGACTCGACTCGAAAACTCGTACGAGTCTATGGAAAATTGAAAATAAATTTCAAAAACCTATATGTGACACATACATAACACACATGTATTGTAAACTTGTAAATGCCTCATATATGATACAAATATATATAATAGAATATCAATTAACATCAAAATTTAAATTTCATACTCCATAACAAACTTCTTAACAAAAAAACTCAATAATAAAACAAACAAAATAGCAAAGTATGCATTTAAAGACTTAAAGTATTAATTTCTTCTTAATTGACTACTACATAAAGCAAAAAAATATCATAAAATAGATATGCTAATGGCTTTAAACATCCAAAACTCCAATAAAATCATCACCAATATCATCACCATCTTCTTGATATCTTGAGTATCATCATCAAATTATACTTCAGATGAAACACATTTTTCATCATTAACCAAAGTTGGATTGCTTGAAATTCCACTTCCACCTAATTCAACATTTCCACCACCACCACCACTTTGAACAATATTAGTGACAACAATATCAACTTCCACAATAACTTTAACAATAACATCATCTTACTCAACATTAACTTCAGTTTTCATATTTTCCTCATTAGGATCTTCAGTTATCCATTCATCACCTTTGCACAAGAGAATATATAAGAAAAATATCCAAGTGAAACATATAAAAAAATACTTGCACAACAAATGTTTGATTTACAGGTACGAACGTGAACAAAGCAAGAGACATAACAAATGCACGTCGTCTATGAACATATGAAGGGAGGAAGAAACTTTGCTAAAACAAGAGACTAGGAGAGAGGCATTCTAATTTTCGTACAAGAAAAAAAAGGGATTATTTTTAAATAAAATAAAATCTTTTGGGGGATTTGGGCCTTTTTTGGATTTAAAAAAACAAAACAAAATTCAAAAAATTTATAGACTCGTAAATTCGCCATAGACTCTCGAGTCTATACGAGTTCATGCAAGTCTGTCTATGTCAACTCGAGTCTATCAAAAAAGATTCTATGCGCGAGTCTACTCATTTTTACTTCTTAGACTCGTAAACTTATACGAGTTTACGAGTCTACCCGCGAGTTTGACAATTATGCTGTGAATCAATTGGCATCTACCTGCATAACTAAGCAATCTGGTTGACCAGTGTGTGACGTTTTCCAGCATTTTATCTATTAAGGGTCTACACATGCGAGTAGTGAGCTTCTTGCTATCTAGAGGCACACCCACATACTTAAATGGGAGCGTATCAATACTAAACTTAGTTTATTCCATGATTTTCTTTTGATTCTCAATAAGGACTCCTCCTGTTGTGAATCGGATACCTTTAAAGTATAAACGGTTTCTTAGCAAGAAACACACAATGGTTAGGGTTAATAAAGAAGAAAACAACAAGGATTGGTTATTAAACTGCTATTCTTTCCTTTCTCTTATAACAAGATTACAAGTATACAAGAATAATAAAATAACCTCTCTCTCTTGAAATTAGGATTTTATCTTCCTATTTTTCCTTATTCTCAAGATTGAGAAACTAGCATTCTATTTATAATAAAATAGCAGACTAACCTAATGGGCTTTTTAACAATTACCCATTACAAGCTAACTTAGGGTACAAGCTAACTTAAACAATTGGGCTTACAAGCAAGGCCCAATTCAACATGCTAACAACCCTAGCAATATTGACTAATGCATGTTAGAACAAACTTCGACTACAACACGCATTACTCGCGAACAGAGTTCAATCCAACGTCTCACAAATCTCCACCTTGGATATAACTCTATAACATCAAGAAACTAGTTTTCTTCATGCAGCTTTATTAACTGCATACAGTGGGAAAACTTGCAACTGGGCAACGTCTTGGTGATCATATCAGCAGCATTATGATCTGTCGAAACCTTTAGCACTTGGACTTCTCCACGCTCGATTACCCCTCTGATGAAATGCAGCCTCACATCAATGTGCTTGGTTCGCTCATGATAGGCTTAATTCTTCGACAGGTGTATTGCACTTTGACTATCACATTTAACAGTGATAACTCGACCTTGAAGTTTTAGCTCCTTTGCAAAACCTTCAAGCCACAATGCTTCCTTCACAACTTCAGTTAGGGCAATATACTCCGCTTCAGTGGTTGATAGGGCAACGACCTTCTGAAGTGTTGCTTTCCAACTGATTGTTGTCCCAAACATAGTGAACACATATCCAGAGATAGATTTTCTGGAATCCATACAACCTGCATAATCAAAGTCGACATATCCATCAATTGCTGCTTTACTATCTTCACCCAAGGCTCCACCATAAATTAGGACTCTATTCAGAGACCCATTTATGTACCTTAAAATCCACTTCAATGCTTGCCAGTGAGCCTTTCCAGGATTCGCCATGTACCTGCTTACAAGACTTACTACATATGCTATGTCGGGTCTAGTACATACCATAGCATACATCAAAGAACCTACTATGTTAGCATATGGAATGCTATTCATATAAGTTCTTTCAACATCAGTGTTGGGACACTGATATATACTCAGCTTGAATTGAGGGTTTGTCGGAGTCACAACAGGCTTTGAATTCGACATACCAAACTTTTCGAGAATCTTCTGTAGGTATGCCTCTTGAGATAAGCATAATTTCGAATGCTTTTTATCTCTCCGGATGTCAATCCCAAGAATCTTGGACGCAACTCCCAGATCTTTCATTTCGAACTCTTTATTGAGTTCAACCTTCACCCTCATTACCTCTTCGACATTATTGCTTGCTATTAGAATATCATCCACATAGAGCAACAAAATAACAAATGAATTACCCGGTCGAAATCTGAAGTAAACACAGTGGTCGAACTGGCTTTTGATGAAACTTATATGTGCCATGAACTTGTCGAATCTCCTATTCCACTGTCGAGGAGATTGTTTCAGTCCATATAAAGATCTATTCAGTTTGCACACATAATCTTCCTTCCCCCTTTCGACATACCCTTCAGGTTGCCTCATCAGGATTATTTGATCTAGATTACCATACAAGAACGCAGTCTTCACATCCATCTGTTCCAGTTCAAGGTCGAACTGGTCCACCATGGCAAGCAAAATTCGAATGGATATGTGCTTCAAAACAGGAGAGAACACATCATTGAAGTCGATACCTTCTTTCTGAGTGAACCCCCTAGCAACCAATCTTACCTTGTATCTCTTCGACGTCACTCCTTCGATTCCTTCCTTAACTTTGA